CATGAATTGCGTGTTTATTGTGTGCATCATGGAAAAGTTCTTTGCTGTCACATTAAGAGACAAATCTTTAACGAACTAGTACTTTTTATAATTTTAATTGTTGAGTGCAAGCTGCCCTGCAGACACGCAACATTCCCAAGTTAAGTGATTACTTTATAGAAACTTTTTATACCTTTACCTATACGTGTTTAAGCCTATAAGAAGTTTATTTTTTTGCCTCAAATAATGTTGTATCGAAAAACTGGTCTACGTGTAGCGAAAATAATATATGAACTGTAAATTTTAGAATTCCATCCTGCTTAAAGGATTCCTAATATATTCACAGACGTATTTAAAAGTCTCAATCCATAATATTCTTCCTATACAAACAGTTATTCACTATTTGGTAGAGCAAGGTCAACTGTCAAATTTGACACATTTTTTGATGATCTCACTGGGTAGTGTGCATCATAGTGGCAAAGCAGAGAGTTTTTTAGACTCTCCCTCAAGTTCATTTTTGAGTCCTATAAGTAGACCAGTAAAGTATCATGGATACCAGCATTATCATACATAAGAAATTGGTTCAATTCTTGAGTAAATGAGGAAATTAAAAATTAACTGATTCTAAAAAATCTGTGGTTTATCACTATGGTGTGCATTGTCTCTCTTTGGATCTTAATATTTTCCTGCTAGATGGCCAAGACCTAGTGTTTTGGCAATAGTTTGACGCACAAATGTATGACGTCACCATTTCAACCATCAACAAACGCATGGAACTAAAACAAAGCTTAATATAAAGGAAAAACTAGAGAGGTGACGGAATTACCCACAATGTCGGAATATACTGCGTTTACCCTATTTTAGCTTTCTAAAAGTACGGCGCACGGCGCATTTTTTTACCGGCATAGTACGGCGCACCGCGCAGGTCGAGGTCGTTAAAATGACAATATAAATTACCACGCATCTGGCACATCTTCCTGACCATGGATCATGATGGATGTCACATGTCAGTTAGTCAGACAAATTTTGCCAAATCTGCAATTAACTAAATTTAACTGCAATTGAACTGGTAACAGTCTAAGGGAGAGTCTATGGCCCTATTTGCAATAAATGGCTAACTTGTCATTCTTCAACCCATTTTTTTGAAACAATTTGTATCATAATCGAAAAACTTGTTTTGTCTTAAATAATTAAGACAAATCTTGTCTCATCTTGTTATGTCTTGTTTCACATCTGTCTGTCTCGTCCTGGTTTGGTTCATACCTAATTTACCGGGACACAAGTTTTAAAGTCCGCCGTCCGGGACAGAAATCTTGTCTCGGTTCATATGTTTATTCCGGGACAAATTTTACCCTCTGTCCCGTTATTTTTTTCCCGGAATTTTCTCGTCTCGTTTCGTCTGTCCCGGTTCATTTCGAGACGCAGGAGTCTAGTGAGCAGAGAGCTGATACTTGGTAAACAATGACTTGAGATGAGATGCGTAAAGTTTAAGCAGGTACGCTGTTTCTATAAGCACTCGATCTCATAGGCTAATACACTGCGTACTTACCAACTTAAATAAAATGAACCAAAATGTTAACTGAAGACTGAAGTTCTGAAAAGCCGGCCTCCGTTTCCCTGAGCCTACGTTATGCACCAAACGAAACTTATGCGCGTCTGCAATCCGCAGCAACTGAATTTTCTTGGTCTACGGTAATCATTTTGAATGAAATGTCAATAAATGAATTTTTGATACTTTTTATGAGCGAATCAGGTGTTAACGCCTCGAAGTCAGGGATAAAAATAAAACAAAATTCCAATATTCGGATTCTATTATTTATTAGAGTTTTCCAGATATTTTATTGCTGTTTATTACAAAAAATGAATACTTTTCATTTTAAATAAATTTTTCTTACATTTTACGCCGTGAAACTGAGGTTTTGAATTAGAATGTTTTTTTAATTATATCATGAATATGTACTTAAATAACAAATTCAAAATAATTGCCGATCAATGAAGGAAGCCATATAACTAAAATTCATTGAAAAATAAGAATATGCCAAAGAAATGTGATATTGTAGCCCAAGCTTTCCCATACTACCAAATCGACACATCAGCGAACTCGCCTGCGAACCCGCCTGCGCACTCGAATGCAAAACCTAACTTCACGTTCAACTCTGCCAGCCATAAATCCATCAATACCAAACGGATTTCATTCAAATTTGAAAAATAAGTAGATATTGTCAATGCGCTGTGGACGGAATTATTTCAGATTTTTGCATGCGCATTGATAATATCTACTTATTTTTCAAATTTGAATGAAATTCGTTCAGTATTGATGGATTTATAGCTGGCAGAGGTGAACGTGAAGTACGAGTGCCAACGCTTTGCATTCAACGAGAATAATGATCTATATATATAATATATATATAGATTTAATTAAAATAAATCCTCGTACATATTGTTAACAAATGTTCACTTTATATGTTTTTGAAATTGCTTTACGCAAAAACTAGAGCACGCACATACAGTACATGCGGATTGCGGTTTGCTGCGCTAGACGCGCCTTCTAAGCAGCTACAAAATAAGCCTAGAAAACGCAAAAGCCAAAATTTTCAATTTTTTACCGAGACGCTCCCCTTAAATACAATTGAACGTAAAAAAATTGTCGATTGGAAAAGTCAAAGTTATTGTTATTGTTTTTTATTAAATTTTATTGTCAAATTCAGCTAGAAGTCACTTGCAACACTCTGAGGGCTATAAATTTGAATGATTGCTTCATAGAGCAGACTATAGCGGGTAAAAGTCCGCACAGTCGCGAAAATATAGATGTCCATGTGCACGGTTCAAGTAAAAAGTAAAAAACATAGATAGCTATTTTGGAGGCCGATTCTGAAACAGGATGATATATGTCCATTTTAGGTACTGCTTCAAAGCAGATGGAAGACACGCTTATATATTATAGGGTTGTTCTAAACTGCCTCGGTGTTTTACTTAACTCTTGAAAATTGCTGGATATAGATACTCAAGGATATTTTAATGAACATATCATGCATTTATTACTTTTTTTTAAATTGTCGTTCACCAAAAATTATCGTTTATCGTTTAAATTGTCGTTCATCGATAAGAAATACATGTTTAGACGTAATAATAATTATTTCGGTTTGGTAGTCAATTTCAAGATTTATTTAATCTATGTATTCCTTTTTAGGTTACATTTTATAAACAACCCATGCAAAATGATAAGATTTTACAAATTTTGCATTGTATTTCCGTAAAGCCATAAAGCATACTATGTAAAGCCATAGTATAATGCAGTCGAAGAATTTAAATGCAGAAATAAAGTACGTGGTAGAGCGATAATACACTGTTGATCCTGCCTCGGAATACTGAAAATCTTGCAATTAAAAACATAAAAACTCATGCTAGAGTCCATTTTTGCATCCTCTACAAAATATATTTAAATCAATTTACTCGCAAAGTAAATCATGGTAGCCGCCACATTTTGATTCCTCTCGGTCCACCCCGTCAGTTTCCCCTCAGTCCGGCTGTCTGCCTCCAAATTGGCTGAAGACTCACAAAACGCGATTGATATGTAAATATGATAGGAGCAAGCCAGTGAACCGGGCTTCTAGTGATCCAGCGGTAAAATGACGATCGGAACCTTATGCCAGTTGGCAGGATGTTTGGCAACTCTAAACCACTCGTCGGCTCAGGCCCGGTGCCGGGGTCGAAGAAAAGCGTAACGATGTCGCGTGCGGTTGTTGCCGGTGATTGGCGCGATGTCGGAAGTGGGAAACCTTGTGAGCAAATGCACGGTGTGATTGAGTCGAGGGTTTATTGCATGCAGCCGAGTCAGCATACTCGAGGCATATTGGAAATATTTGAAGCATTCAAGGGTAGCTCTAGGCCTAAAGTGAGCGCGCTTTGATAGCGTGTGGCAAGGCGTAACGCGTCAAGTGCTTTCAAGGAGCCCCACGAGTGTGACGTTCCTTTGGCTGCATTTCCATAAAAAATATAAAAAAAGCGGCGATTTAGAAGCTCGTTTGTTTAATAAAATTCTCTTCAGTTGGGACTCCACCAAAGTCGAGAAATATGTTAATTTTACTCCTGCGCAGTGACTGTTATAATTTCAGGTATGTTGGTTTAATGTTATTAGTGAAACACATTTTACTAATGGAAATGCGTCGGTCTAGCGATTTTCATAAATTTTTGCATTGTCCTGCTTTTGATTGAAGGTTATCTTACAATGAGGTAAGCCCTTTGATGAGGTTTGGTTAGCTTTAGATGAGGGTTAGGATTAGTTAAATAGAACCATGCAACATCAGGAACCAAAATCAGGGACCAAGATCAGAAACCAACATCAGGGACCAACAACTGGAACCAACATCAGGAACCAACATCAGGAACCAACATCAAGGACCAATATCAGGAACCAACATCAGGGACCAACATCAAACGAAAAAAAAGCCTCTTGGGGAACAGTCAGACGAACAACGAGCCTCTTGGGGAACAGTCAGACGTTAACAAATTCCCCTCACAAATGGCGTTACCCGAACCGACCGAGCGGCACGTTATAGCGCTATAAGTAATACACTCGTAAAATGATCCCGTCTGCTATTGCATGCTCGTTACGATCATGAATCTCGGTGAAGGATTCATGTCTCTATATTGATACACAAATTTCATCTTCTCTCTAAACTCATGAGGAACAAATTAACAAATGTCACGTATAACATCGAGCTTCCCTCACTGGTCGCCTCGCGGTCTCCGTTGGGGTCTGCCTACACAATGGCAGGCTTGGCTCGCTTTGTTCTAAATTCAGTAAATCCGACTTGCGTTGATTGGATTGCAATCCACTTGAAGTGAGAAGTTCACCTTGAGAGCTTCTGCATGGAGAACGTGGATTAACTGAATCCACATTCCAGACGTTCAAAGGGAACAACAACAAAGCAGTAAACGTCTTGATTGTGCAGGACTAATCCTGAAGTATCATAACTCGCGGGATAAAAGAACTGAATCGTTCAATATTTATTTCAAGTGGCACTGTTAGAAGTCAGTTCTTGAAACCGGCGAAATTTTATCTAATATTCGCGACAAAAATGTTTTAGGAATTGAATTATGATGCATAAGTTGTTTCTTTCCCGTACAGCCCCTGCAGCCTCGATCATATTCGGAGATATCGGCTCACAAGTCAGGTGTAAGAATTGAGTTTCATGCTAGAGCGTGTCTCTGAAATTTTGTTGTCCTCTTACTCTGACGTCATGCGCCTTAGTCTTACTCCGACACGTTGTTCTGTAATCTTCCTCCGACACGTTGTTTTGTCGTCTTATATTACTCCATAGTCTTACTCTGACATCTTGCACTGAAGCCATGTCAAACTCTGAAATCCTGCGCTAAAGTCAAGTAAACTCTAAAATCCCGCGCTGAAGTCAAACTATAAAATCTTGCGCTGAAGTCAAGTCAAACTCTGAAATCCCGCACTGAAGTCAAACAATGAAATCCTGCGCTAAAGTCAAGTAAACTCTGAAATCCCGCACTGAAGTCAAACTCTGAAATCCCGCGCTGAAGTCAAACTATGAAATCTTGCGCTGAAGTCAAACTCTGAAAACCCGCGCTGAAGTCAAACTATGAAATCTTGCGCTGAAGTCAAGTCAAACTCTGAAATAATGCGCTAGAGTCGTGATCCGCAAGTCAAACCCAGAATTATGTCCAGGTTTACTCGGTGCATCAACACAGAAAGATATATTGAAGGAATCTTCACGCAGTGGTTGGTGAGGGCACACGCAAAAGGCACATCAGCTGTAGAGTCAACAGCCGCGCGTGTTGAAGTGCGCCGAGTTCATCTCATCTGTTCATCGCAGCTCAACGGGAGACTACGATATCCATCATCGCCGTGTCTACAACATTGCTTCCATAGATGTTTTTCTTGGAAAAATGTCTTGGTTGAATTTAATATTAAAACTAAATACCTGTTATATTTAATTTAAGTACTTCTTAAATATGAATTAAATAATAATGACGGTTCTCCATGTTTGAAGTATCTTTCGCGTTTTAAACTGTTCCATGTGATTAAATGCCAAGAGCATTCTTTGGGTAGGAGACACATGTTATCACGGGGTTCACGGCATTGCCTTGCATTAATTGTTAATGGCAGGAAACATGTTATCAAAGCATTGTCTTAATTAATTGTTTTAAGTAAGAGCTAACATCAGAGACAATATCAAGGACCAACATCAGAGACCAACATCAGAGACCAACATCAGAGACCAACATCAGGGACCAACATCAGGGACCAACATCAGAGCTGTCTCTTATACACATCTAGATGTGTATAAGAGACAGGCAAAGGGGGCTATTCAATCAGCGAAAGCATCGATATTTTTATGCTATCTTCGTCTTCTTGCTGACCTTGCATCCTCTAGTTTTGAGTCTAAAAGAAAAGTCAGACGATATTTATAATTTGCACTAATTTTTATAACTTTAACAGTTATAAAAAATTTCCTCTTTTTCCTTAATTAAAAAGAAGTCATTTTCATTTACAAAAATTAGTAGTTTCAGTCCTTTTAGTGTACCTCTCACAACACCAGTCCAAATGTTACGCTTACTAGCATGACAGTAACTACTTAGCAGATAACTGTGCAACACGAACCTTCGCTGAGAACAGTCA